TTCTGTGTCCAGCGGGGATTGCTAATGAGGTCAGTGATCTGTCGGGCCCGGCGCTGGTCTGGTTCCTCCTGTAGCGGTGTCCCTCTGGGCCAGTTGCCAGCCCATGGGCCTCAGTGCTCCTGGCAGAGTCCGTTCCTGGGGTGTGTCCATCAGTGGGTTGCTGACAGGGATATTTAGTGGTGCTCTGGAGCTCAGGCTTCTGTTGCACTGCATGACTACACTCAGGCCTTGCTGGCTGTTGGTGTGGTGTAGAAAAAGCCAGCACTGGGGGCATGATGCTCTCAGATTGTCGCCTCATTCCCAGTAAGTCTTCTTGTGCAGGATTAGTTTTTTTTGTAAATGTCTGTAATCTTCTTAAAACCTAGACTTGATTATGGCACCCTGCGTGAAAGTGCATTTAAAACCCAGAGAAGAAGGAAAAGAGAAGAAAGGAAACGCAACGTTTCAGCTGTGGAGCCTTCTTCTGGTGTGTTGGGTTGTACTACTGGCTGATAACTGTGATCTAGCTAACTACTGCACTTGATAATGTTTTCGAAATACGCATCCTCACTGTATTGCTAAATGACAGAGATTGAGTTATCTGTGTAGATTGTTGAACTTACTGCCCAATGTGACCATAAGATATTGGGTTTTCTGTTCTTATTTTCCGATCAGAGCAAAAGGGCAAAGTTCTGCAAATGTATGCAGCTGTGTTAAAAAATGGCCAAGTTGTGCAAACATAAAGGACCTGCAGTACATAAAGCAGTGTCTTCTTTTTCCAGTCAGGCGGGTGCTGTTCCCCTGTGCTCCAGTGCTGAAAGGGTTAAAGCACTTACGCCCTCCTATTGTTATGATTCCAGACTGACCTCGTCCTCCTGTCAGTCTTCTTGACTGGCGGCACCCTGGCATCCAATGGGATCGCCGTCGTCCGCTGCGGAGGCGGGCCCTGGGCCTGGTGACAGTGTGCTTCTTTCCAGCACAAGAGTCCCCTTCCCCTCACACTGACTCTGCTCCAGAACAAAGACCATGTCTGCCTCGACCGCTGCACACGGCGGGCTGCTGTGCACACAGAGAGCCCGCCTGCCGCAGCACGCCAGCCCCCTGTCTGATCCCGACCACGCTGAACCCGCCGGTCTTCTCCTCCTGATTCGTTCCTCCGGCTCCCGCCGGGAAAAGGGCTGTAGGTGTTGAGACATCAGGTCGAGGAGGCGGGGGCTGCGATTAATCTGGCAGATAGACTTCACAGTGATCTTCTCCCCAGCGGCCCGACGGAGCAGGGCAGGCCAGCGCGCTGGGGGAAAAGAGTGGGGGACAGATCTAAACGGACGAATATGAGTTCGTCCTTCACTTTTTTTTTTTGTCCACTCTCAATTAGCAGTTCACTTTTGTCCTGCAGGGTTTCTGTGTAGGGTTCTCGAGACAGCTTGGCCAAGACGAGAAGCCAGCCTCAGTGCCGCCTGAAGCCGGGTGGAAAAGGCTCAGCCCTGGGCTCTCTAGATGACAGGGCGGTGTGGTAGGGGCGTGCTTCCACAGCCCCTCAGCACGACACTTTATTTATAAATCAGGAATTCCAGGCATGGAAAGTGACATCAAGCCCCTCTGTCTCCCCCCTTCCCTAGAAAGCTCTCGGGTGCTGGAGGCTGTGCTGCTCCTGTCGCTGCTCTGGCTTTTTTTCAGGCCCATCATTTCAATTGCTCCTTTTTCGTTTGTCTACGCCTTTTTAGCTCGTCGCCGAGACGCTTTTTTTCCCCCCACTTTGTGCTGACTGCTTCTGCGCGCTGCCCTCGCTGGAGTCCTGCCTGGCCGCGCGGCCGCGGCTCTTCGGCTGCCGTTGCGATGCCTGCCGCCGCCGCCGCGCTCGCTCGGATTGGTTCTGCAAGGCTGGGTCTGTGGTTGCCAGGGAAACCAAACAGGCTGTGGCCTAGCGGAGCCAGGCAGAGCCGAGGGCTGTCCTGCGAACCTCCCCTGCCTCGCTCAGCCGTCAAGTCGGACGGGGAAGGGAGGAGCTTGCCCCCCTCTAGTAGGAGCCGGGGATTTTCCACCAGTAGGGGCCCTTCCTGCACGTACAGCCCCCTCTGCAGTAAGAGTCCTTTTAGGATCGGCATTCCGCCCGGAGCTGTCACTGCTGCTGCTCTCTCCTCTCCACTCATTCCCCGCCGTGCCTTCTGCAGCTCTGACTCGCCCTCGCCAGGCAGCAGGAGAAAGAGAGGCAGCAAGATGTCATCCAACCCGATCCCCATCAAACAGAAGCCCAAGTCTCCCTTTCGGAAGAGGGCTAGCCTCCAGAACGCCATCTCCCCGGGTGAGTGATGCTGGCTGAGCGGCAGGTGGCAGGGGGCAGGGGAGGTGGAACATCTGGACCCTGCTCTGATCCAGATGTGGGGGGCTCTCTGCTGGAAGTATGCAGGCGCACTTGGCAGGCTTGCCTACAGGTTGCTGTGTGCTGTTTTTATGAAAACTCCATTAGTTGGATTTTGTTTTTTTAATAGATTGCACTTTTATAACAGTTTGTTTGATTATATGTAGACATGAATGTGTACTGTATGTGCAGAACGAGGATGAGAGAGCGGTACAGAGCAAAAAATGCGTATTTCCTTCAGTGACAATTGTATATTAGAATTGTCATATGCAAATAGAATTGACTGCACTTTAGTCCCCTCCTGTGTTCCTTAACACTTTGTCATTCAGTCTGTGGGATGAAGGAAAAGCGCTGATGTTTTCTCCTGGTTCGGCTGCAGCAGCATGACTACTGTCAGCCAGCATGTAGGGAGAAGTCCAGGTGATTTTTTTTTTTTCTGGACATCTTCTGTGAAGGACGGCAGTATGACTTTGAAGTGCCGGACTCCGTGCGAAATCTGCTGTATCTCGTCTGTCCAGAAGCCAGACAGATGCTTTGAACGATATGGTCTTTTTGGACTCTGCCTGTGTCGGATCAGCAGACCTGTACACGGCGGGGGCCTGCTCTCTGAGTGGTGGGGTTGCATCTGGCTGGGAAACGATACTGGAACAAGTGGCGACTAGAACTGGTCTAGGCTGGCAAACAGGTCACCAATGCAGAGTGTAGGCAAGGAGTGAAGACATACACAGCGCTGATCTGGCACGTACTGTAGTGGTGTCCGTTCTGCGGTCCAGAGTGTGCGAGTTCTGTGATTTCATGAGTCATTGTCATCGATCCCTTCTGTCACGCGTAATAGTGCAAGTCTGAAAAGGCGTGGAGGCTGAATCAGCATGTTGTGGGCTCTGTCATGGCCATGTCAACAGATATTTGAGTGTAGGAGTTTGGACAGAAAGCAGGACTAAGGTCTGTCTGTGTCCTGCTGGTCATTCCATGGCTCCCGCAGTGTGGTTGGCAGGTTGCTGTGGATGATGCGGTTCGTGTCTGAGCGTGCTATTTGGGATGCGGAGCCTGTGCACCCTTATAGAGCAGGAAAGACATGCTAGTGTTTGTAAACACCAGCCCCCCTCCCCTACCCCCCTCAGTAACCGGGCACCCAAGCCACTCTGGATCACCTCTGACACACGAAGCCAGTGTAACCCAGCACCGCGGGCCTGAGGAGAGAGACTCCTGCCCTCGTGCTGCCGCAGTCCAGCAGGCCCACGTCTCTCTGAACGCTATGGGCGTCCCATCAAGGCTCCAGTTAAGGCTCTGCTTAGTCCAGTGAGGTGGTTTTGAAGGTCATCCTGAAGAACAGGGAAACAGCCCTGGACTCTGATTGACCGCTCTGACAGGAGAGACCCCAGGGGTGCTTCCAGCCCGTGAACGAGCACACCCCTCCAGATGCACAGCAGTCCTGCAGACAGGTGGTAATCTTCACTGCTGATGCACGTCCAGGGTGCCTGCGTGGGTCTCCTAGCAGGCAATTAAAAATTCCTATTGCACAGCGTCGTCTATTCCACGTTATGTTCACAGCTTTAATTACAGGGGTTGTGTTTGTGGGGGAGGCTGTCTGCTGTAAGACCTTTTTAAGATGTTGAATTAGCCTTGCCTAGCCATAATAGTTGATTTCTTAAAATGATACTGCAGTGCCAAAGGCTCCTTTAACAGTCTGCCTGCGGCAGTGCATGTTCTCCTGTGCCACTGCCTCTAAGAGAAGAAAGGACACACAAACACACACACCTGTGCTCTAAATACCTACCTGTTACTTGGCTGTCTGCATCAGGCCCTGCAGGAGCTATTGCATACTCCAGTATTAGTGTCTGCTCCTTTTTGTGCTTAATATTATTCCACCAACAGGACACGTTACCCCACTTTCCAGGCTTTTCATTTTATAAGCTAACTTTGTCTAAACATTTGACAAACATGATTGCATTCTCAAACGAATTGCTGTGTGATTAGAAAAACAGTATTTTATGTTTTACATTTGAAAGTGACACGTTTACTTAATATCCACTTAAATATTTGAAAATGTTTAGCAAGATTCCAGGACAAAAAGGCCAGTGTCGCTTTTATCCGTTGTTTTGGAGATTCTGGCATGGGGAGGATGCTTCTGCAGCCCAGCCTGGAAACCAGAGCAGCACTGTTACTAAGCCCCACGAGACAGGACACTTGTAAATCACAGGGGAAATCGGAAGTCGTTGAAGGACTCAAGGAACAGGACTCCAGTCTGCCACTGAGGGCTGGAGCACCCTCAGCGAGGCCTAGAGCCGTCTGTGTCAAAATGTTTCTGCTTCTAGAAGCCACCTGGCGCACTGTATGTGAGAAGAGAAGTCGAGGTGCTGTTTCTGTGCTCTGTTAGAGTTGGTGTTTATCACCACCACTCGGTGTTCGTCATCTGTAATGTCCCCCTGGATTTCCAGCTCTGCAAAGTTACGCATTTATAGATTTTCAGTCTTTCGATGCTGCTTGCCATTCTTCCATCTCCACACACCGGCCCCCTGCATGGTCCTCTCATAGTAAGGCGAGGGGCATGGAACCTTCCCTGGGTCCTGGCACAGCAAGACACAGCAGCTGGCACAGCCTGTGGAGAATAGAGCTGCAGAGCAACAGGTGTCTCGATAAATAAGAGCAGCAGCCCCTGCGGACTAGTAACTCAACAGGCCCCACTCCCTAGGGAGAGGTGGGGGGGCTGGGACAGCATCGCGTCATTAACCCTTAGCTTTCCAGGGTGTGTTTTCTGGCAGCTTGTGTGGTGTCACTCTGACATTTAGGCACAAACAGTGGTAGAGTGGTGCACGTCTTTCACGGTAAAGTGCTGTGATTAACATGTTAAAAAAGAAGCCCTCTTGGAGCCATAAACACAATGGGCAGGGCTCTGACATCAGCGCTGCCTGTTCTGGCTCAAGGTTACCTGGAATCTGAGGTGGGATGCGCTGACGTTCCATTGCAGTGCTTTTAAGGCACAGGTTAGCTCTTAAAATGAGCCGTGTGGGATATCTGTCTCAACCAGCAAAGGTACCAGTTCATAGCCCAGAGCCCAGGCTTGGCCCAGAAGTCTAGGGATGTTTCAGCATTGGCATGCCAAACTGCCAGGTTTGGTATGATTCAAAACCAACTGTGTCCCTTGGTCTGCTGGTAGCCTGTGATCTTGCAGTGCTCTCGGCGAGAGCTGGGCCTGTAGCCCCTCCTCTGCCTTCCAGCTGCTGTCAGTTCTGCACTGCACTGGAGGACGTGCTGACCGCACCAACCCAGTGTGGACACAAGGAGTGTGGAGGATCAGCGGGGCTGATCGGGTTCTTGGTGATTCACTCTCAAAAGAAAAATGAGTCTTGTCTCGTTTTTCCAGCGGAGTGTTTCTGCTGCCTTTTGTATCAGCTCAGAGAATTCTGCCGTCCTTCGGGCCTGGTTTAGGCCTTTCATCGCCAGCAGGAAGATGGGCCAGCTGTCTCCCTTCTCTCTCTGGGAATAATCTCACGCTCTTGTCTCACGGGCACGCAGGCATGCAGCTCCCTGCCAGCCTCGGCTTCTGCCGCACACCGCCTTCTAGGTGAAGTAACAATGGGACAGAAGAGGCGCTTATGTGGGGGCGTTCTAATGTGGTTTATAGTCTCGCTGCATGATTTTCCAAAGGCTTCATTTAACAAGAGGACTGCTCACTAATTGCTGGTTGTTCTTATGTAATCTGCACCTGCGCCCTGATAAGAGAGCTCAGTTTATAGCTCCTGAACAGTCCTGATTATTCTTCTGTGCAAGGGTCGGGTTCCCAGTAACATGTGCCTGTTCCCTTTTTCATGCCCTGTGCTTCTGAAAGCCCTGTTGTCCGTTGCGGCCCCTCACTATAGCAAACTGACCTCTGCACTCAGCCGGCGATAGGCATGTCTTCTCCAGAGAGCATCTCTCCTGGCGTCCCTCAAGCGCTATGGATACCAGAGAGTCACAACACGTTGACCTTGAGCCCTGATCCTGGCCTCCACCTTTAATCTAAGCAGTGCTCAGATGGGTGTCTGTGATGTTTGCTGTCTCTGGGTTATTTACAGTATTGCTAAGCGTTGTTCATGAGCAGGAGTGAAAGTTGGGCTTTAATCACTGTAGCCATGCTGGTAGTCGCCATGTACTGCCATCTGCTGTTGGGAAAGAAGATGGCACTTTACTTTGTACTCGGGCACAGAATGTGAGTCTGCCTTCAACAGAGGATGTCTTTTGTTTTACAGAGAAAATTGAATCAGTCAAAAAGTCGATAGTCATGACAGCTTTTGTTGGAAGGAGATCTCAGTCCCATTTGCCTGTGGGGAGTCTGAGACCCCCTCCCAGCGTTCAGAGGAATTGATTGACTACTGGCTTATCAGGATTGGGGGCTTTAAATCAAGAAATGGATAAGTGCTGTGTCCAGATTTATTAAGAAAATACCCCATGTCCTAGAATGGAAGTGAAGCTTATTTTCCACAGCTATTCCCCAGCGGAAGAGGAATGTTCCTCCTTAGGGACTGCACTGATTGTTTTATCTGCAGAGGTCTCAGTTGTATTTACTCTGTCTGGTCACAAGCACTGAGCTCTGTTCCCAGCGACATGGAGCAGACAGAGGACATTTGCTTAGGGCTATGTTGCCATCGTAGATCATGGCTTCATGATTGAATTATCATGTTTTATTGTCCTGAGGGCTGATTTGATGTGATCACCCTGTGGGTAAACTCTGCAACATGGGGATGATTGAGTTTTTACTGTAATTCAATTTGTTCTGTGTATTCAAGTACCTAAAGGGCAGCACTATGGAGGAGTGGTCAGGGCAGTGCAGGGATGTCAGATCTGGGGTGAGACTCTGGCATTGTACCCTTGAGATTCAGTACTTGTACTCATGTAGCTCCTGCTAATGACCTGCTGTTTGCATGTCTGCAAATCACCATTTTAAATAAGATTTCCTTCTTGCT